GAGCCAAAGCCCTTCTGGGAGCCTCCTCAGGGAAGTGACTGCTCCTGAGCCACGCGGTCCAGGGCTGGGCCCCATTCACCATGACCTCAGCAGGGCCACGTGTCTAGAAAGAACGAGCCTTGGGTCCAGGGCCTTGAGAGGAGCCGAGGTTAACTCATTGTGCTGCCCGGTCTTTCTGCGTTGGACAGAAGTCTCACCGGAGACAAAGGTCCGGGTCACCTCCTGTCCTTGGATACATCCCTAAGTGCTGGCACTAGTCAGGGTATGGGGCCCACAGTCAGCTCTCTGACACGGGGCTCTTGGAACCTAGTGTTCTCTGCCGAGGGGGCCCAAACCTGGGGCCCCCAACACCTAAGGCTGCTACTGGACTCTAGGCCCTGCCATTGATCTGACCAGGCAGAGGGCTGGCTCTCTGCTGGTGGGTCCATTCTTGTCCTGCCTCCCCCTTCAGGCATCCTGGGTTGCCCTTTCTGGTTTCTATCAGGCCCATCAGCCTTCCTCATTCTAGATTGCAAACCACCTTGCCCCCTCGCAGGCTTTGTCCCAATCACCCATTTGCCTGGAATTCTCTCTCTTCATATTTTCCTCTTGTCAGGACACAGCTTGCTTCTCCTTTCTCCACGATGCCTTTGGGAACCTGGAACGGCTTGGGACAGTGGGTTTTCTAGACAGCTAGAGAGAACTAATGACTGGCAGACAACTTGTAGATTTTCTCTCTCTGGCCTCACAAAGGCAGGACAGTGCTTACCCCATTATTCACTTACCTTCATGTGCCAGGGGACACAGGGACTGGGAGGTGCCAGACTTAGTCAAAGTTCTCAGTAAAACAGGACCAGTGAGATATCGGTCTCTAAAAGGTAATGACTTACATCAAGTACTGACTCACGCAGTTATAAGGACTGTTATGTTCAGAATCTTCAGACGACATGTCTAGCTGGAGACATCTATAGACTCATGTCCCAAGATCTGTAGGTCAGGCAACAGGAAGAATGCAGAGTTGCCAAAATTTCTATTTTAAGTCTGGAGGCAGCCAGCACCCTAAAAAAGCCCCCTTTTAATTGATTTATTATGTTACATTGAGTTATGTTATAGAATATGATTCTACTACATTGTATTAGATTACATTATGGAACAGCAAGGTCTATTATCTGTGACACCATTGGGAACCATAGTGTGGCCGAGTTGAGACATAAAATTTACCATCACAATGACCAATCATGTTTTTTGGGTACACACAGATGTTTCCACTGACCTAGGATACACATGGACTTGTGATCTTCTTGCATTCTGCATCATTGCATGTGGCCATGTGAGTCTGAACAGGGATTTAAGGACTAGTATCAGACAGACTTAAGGACTTGAATTGGACTGGGCTGGGGGGTTTTCTTGATAATAAGTACTTCTTGATAGAAAGCTCTTTCTTATACATAGATGAGTGTCACTGGATTTGTGTCTCTAGTCACCTGGCCTAACACAGGCAGCAAAAAGAGGAAGACTCTGTAAGATGGATCAACACGGTGGCTGTAACAATGGGCTCAAGCCCAACATGGCAATGGTTGCAAAGATGGCGCAGGACCTGGCAGTGCATTGTCCTGTTCTACACAGGGTCACTCTGAGCTGGAACCAATTTGATGGCACTTCACCACCACCTCAACAATGGCAGGCCACTGGTTCAACTCTAAAGAACCAAAGGTTGACAAGCCAGATGCAGAATCCAGACCCAGCAAAAAAGCAAGCCAGCGTTTACTGATATAGGAAGTAGACCTTCAAAGAAGCGCCCTTCCAGTTGCATCAGGGAGTTGAATTCCACCCTAATCTTCTTACAACTGATTGGCGGCTCCTTGCAGTTTCCAATATGGAGTTGATTACTTTATACTAGGTCAGATAATAGGAGGTTACTAGGGCTTAACTGTTAAACGACCAAGGATCCTGGCCCAGCCAAATTTATACAAAACTTAGCCAGGAAAGGATACTCTTTATTACCATTCTTACCCAATTTTGTCATAGGCAGAACAATAAAGTAAGAAAAAGAAACAGAATTGGTAAGGATAAAGTAAACTTAGCCTTGTTTGCAGATACAACACATAGAAAATCCCATAGATTCTACAAGAAAGCTAGTGGAACTCATAGAAGGATTCAGCTAGATGTCAGGGTATAAGATCAACATATAACAGTAATGCGTTAACAAGGAGACTCAAGAGAAAATCAAGGGGAAAATTTTCCATATATAATAGCCACCAAAAAGATCAACTTCATCAGGAATGTAAAAGACCTAAAGAAAATGACAAAACA